ATGCACGTAAAGTTTTATGGTTCAAAGCAGCTAGACGTGATGTTCCTAAATCAAAATCAATGTTTTTTTGTTGCGAGGATCATTTTAATGAAAGTGCGAACAAAAAGCTAATGATGAGGCAGATAAAATATGCCCTAGATCGTGCTTTGTGTTGTGGGCAAATTCTACCTTGTACAGAGCACAAAGAACCCTCGCGATTCAATTCGACATATCCGATATTACAATATTGTTCTCGTGATGCCCAAAATACAATTTAACAGTTCATTTTACTTTTAAAGCAGCCATGTGTATAGGTTAGGTTAAGTTGAATAAGTGAAATTTTATGTATTATTTACCTAATTTAAACCAATACAGACCGATTAGTATATTAAGGAGAGAGTAACTAATAATGAATTTACGGATTTGTAGATACGCTGCTGCTTTGATACCCTTAAATTAGGCTGAATTAAAGCGTTCCTCGTTTTTTAAAAATTCGGTAACCATAAAAATATGTCCACATGGTAAATTGTTTGTTGACGCTTTAAGGAATCCTTCTGGAGCCATTTTTTAGTTTAACACAAACTATAAATTATTTAAATCCACAAAATAATGAATGAAACACAACCACACAACTAAACACTATGCACAGAACGTAAACAATCCGCCATTTATATGACCAGAGACGTCACAACCGATAGGATTGCGTTTTAGAGATTCGTGAATAATTTGAATTTTAGCCGAATTTGTTTATTAAATTATATATATTAGGATAGATTAATGTTCAGTTTGTAGGAATTTTTGATACATTAAAAACACCCTATTCTGGCCCAGAGCGGATTTATGCGAGCCATTATTTATTTGCTGGCTGTAACTTTGCATAAAGTATCACTCAGTTTCTGCGCAAAAAAATGCAATAAAACCGCCATAAAGGAGAAGCTCGAATTTGTCAGGTTTATTCCGTCGTTTTTTTTCGGCGAATGGAGGAAAAATACTTTATGATCTTTTGTCAAACAACCGCTATATTTTAAGGAAAAATTCTGTTGACTTCGCAAAAAGCGTGTAGGGGATTGGGATTGATTTCAGCAAATTTATATGGAGCCTGTTCTGAAAAACTGAATAATCAGTCACATTTGGGCAAAAATGTTGAATCTTGAATGGGATGTTTAGAACTTTCTACTAAGCATTGCGAACTTGGGCAACTGGTGACGAAGCAGTGGACAATTGCCTCACTAGAAAAAGCGTGATTCGGTTGCCTTCAAAATGCGTTTATGCAAATTGAGTCCAAGTCAAGCACGGATAATCCAGCAACATCCACATGATTAGCAGTTAGGCACAGGCAAGTAAACTTAATTCAAATTCACGCATTTCAGCTCCCTCCTCACTTAATATAACTTCAAGCCCACATTGGCATAAATCAATATCGACTTCATATATAGCGCGAATGGATAGTTGCTAGATGGGATGTCAGGGCCAGTAGCCATTAGTGAAGATCTATCGCGAAGTCAATATCGTCAATTGGCGACATTGTCTAATGGAAGTTTAATTGCCTTTAGGCCCCATGAAACTCGCACTTATTCAACGTGTTTTTTCCAACTTCCCTGAGAAGAACTTAGATGGAAATTTTGGGGCCGCGGTGCAACTGCACAGATGCAAACCGAATGAATAGATGAATTGCTGATTAAATCATCCAGACTGTGGCGCGGCGCCCTGAAATACTCATCTCCCTGCAGGAATTTGCGCATTTCATCAAATTAATATATTATCCGAACCGCAAGATGTAACACTTTAATTAAATCGACACCAATGTGGTTTAATACCGCCGTTGAACCGGGAATAATTTATTCACTGACCTGTCAGGCTTGATATTCCGTCCTGCATAAATGATTAAGGCGTGCGGGCAATTATTCATCTAAGTCACATTATTCGCTTTCGAATTGAATCAGCGCTTAGACCTGAAACGAAACAACAATGTT